TTCACCAAATCATAAGTGTGGTTTTCAAGTAAGGAATTCATTTCCTCTTCCATGGTCTTTTTCCAATCACCTTTCTTTGCATGCTCAATTGCTTCTTGTTAGCTCTCGGGCTCCCCCTTGATTAGATATCAACACAAACTCATTGGGAGGATACCTTTTAGAAGGTTGCTGGTCCATTGTAAATTTTCTCAACTCAAGTTGCGGTGGCAGTTCTAGAGTTAAATGCTCTTTCTTAATTTCAAGCTCAATTTCGTTAAGATTAGCATCATCCTCCACACCTTCAATAGGTGACTACACATCTCCCCTATTTTCATCATCCACCGAAAACGAAAGAGATGGGTCAATGTCAATGAGATCACTAATTTTTTGCTCCGGTTGATTACCTTTGCCAAAGTCTTCAATTGTTTGGTCTTTAAGAAACACAACATCACAGTTTCGAATAACTTTCTTGTCAACTGGATCTCATAATCTGTAACCAAATTCATCACAGCCATAGCAAAAAAAATGCATTGTCTTGACTTGTTATCAAGCTTGGACCTCTTATCCTTTGGAATGTGAACAAAGGCTCAGCAACCAAACACTCTTAAGTGCTCATAGGACACATCTTTGCTACTCTAAACTTTTTCAGGAACATCACCATTCAAAAGATATGAAGGAAATAAATGATCATGTCAATTGTTGTCCTCATTTCTCACCTTAAAAGGATCTTGGCAATTTAGCATGTGAAAGCCGACACCTTATTCTTTCCACAATGGTGCGGTTCATCCTCTCGGCAACGCCATTTTGTTGAGGAGTCTTCTTAATTATCTTTTGATATCGAATACTTTGGCTGCGACAATACTCATCAAATGACCCAATGTATTCACTACCTTTGTCTGTTCGAATGCACTTCAATTTCTACATTATTTCTCTTTCAACCATGGCTAGAAAATGTTTAAATACATTTAGAACTTGATATTTAGTTTTTAATGCAAAAGCCCAAACTTTCCTTGAATAATCATGAATGAAAGTAACAAAATAAAGTGCGTCACTATGTGTTCTAACTTTCAAAGGACCATAAACATCCGAATGAATCAACTCAAAACATTTTCTTTTCTAGAAGCAACATTTTATGAAAAGAAATTCTATGTTGTTCACCCGCCAAGCAATGAACACAAGTTTTAAGATGCGTTCCTTTCAAACTGGATAAAAGTTTTTTCTTGAACAAAACTTGCAGCCCCTTTTCACTCATGTACTCAAGTTGCTAGTGTTGCAATTCGATAGAAGTATAATCCTCAAGTGCATTGATAACACATTTACAAATTTTTTCTCGCAGTATATGTGACTCTTTTTGCACTTAGCCACCACCAAAGAGCCCTTTGTGAGCTTCCATTTTCCGTCACCAAAATTGTTGTTATAGCCTTTATCATGTAGCTTCACAGTGGAGATCAAATTGAGGCAAATGTCTGGAACATGCTTTACATCTTTAAGCAACAACTTTCAGCCCAAATTTGTTTACAATCAAATATTACCCATGCCAACAATCTTAGACAAACCTTCATTACCCATTCAAATACAACCATAATCTCATTTGGTATAAGTAGTGAAGAAATCAACTCGAGAAGTCATATGAAAAGAAGCACCAGAATCAATCATCCAATTGCTCTCTTGACCAATAAAATTGACACAATCATCTTCACAAACAACCATGAGATCACCATTGGTAGTAACCGCTGTTGTGCTTTCTTACTTCTTATCCACACTTTGTCACGCTTTTTCACCTTGCTCTTGAGCTTTCGACATTACTGTTTCATGTGTCATTTCTCATGGCAATAATGACACTCAATGTCTTTCTTTGAAAAAGAACAATCTCTTGATTTGTCATGGCTTTGATCACGACCATGAGGAGTCTTACACTTTCCTCTTGTTTTGCTTCGGCCTCTTACAACAAATGCCTTCGAATGAAAAGAACCCACTCATATTCTTCTAATTTCTTCATTCAACAAGCTACTAGTGACTTGGCTCATTGTGACAACTTCATCAGGCACTGAATCACTAACCGTCACAACCAAAGTATCCCAATTTTTGAGCAAAGAACTAAGTAACATCAAAACCTGCAACTCATCATCAAAAACAATTTTCATAGAAACAAGTTGGTTAACAATACTATTTATTTCATTCAAATGTTCCGGAATCGGGTTGTCATCTTTATATTTTTAAATTACCCAACTTTCAAAATAAAAATACTTTATTTGTAGCTGATTTTCTATCATAAAGACTTTTTAATTTTTTTCATAAATCATGTGCCAAAATTTCAGTACATGATGAAACATATTGTCATTAATCCATTAACAGATAACACTAACGTCTTTTCGATTAAGTCTCTTCCATTCATCATCTTTCATACCCTTGGGTTTGCCACTATCACCCCCAATGGTGTTAGGGAAAATAGATGATTTTTCACGAGTAAATCAATCACTGAAAATAAAAACTAATGTGGAAAAATTAAATCAACGACACAAGAATTTTTACGTGATTCCCTCAATTTGAGGTACGTCTATAGAATTGAAATCTGATTCCACTATCAACTAATAGTTTTTAAACGATTATAAATGAGACACGAATAGTCTTACAAATCACCCTTAGATGAATTTCAAATAATCACAAATAATCAAGAGAAAATGCCTCACCAAATAGATGAATAAAAGTTTTAAAACAAATTATAGAATACTCAAAATAATAATCCAAATCAACTTCACCAAATCAACCGAAGATGCATCAAACCGTGCTTCAAAATCGAATAGTGAATCAATTTGTAACAGCCAGTATAAACCAAAACCCATCAAATTGATTTTTCAATTTTTAACCCAAACAGTCCTTTGAAACACACCCAACGTGAGACAAAAATCTCACCCAAGCACAAAACCACCTCATAGATTGATTAAACAATCAAATCTTCAAAAAAGCTGAGCACCAGTTTTTTTCTTCACTCCACGTTGCTCACACCGAATTGATTGATATATTCTTCTATCGCAGCTGCGACACTTCACGCAGGAGCCAGACAAAAACAATTCTTTTTGGGCTTTTTATCAGAGCTTTAATTATTATTAAAAGTTAGATATAATATATAAAAAATATATTATAACCAACTTCAAATTAAATTAAATATTTTTAATAAATTAATTGGGTCTCATATTTTAATAAAGAGCTATACCTAATATAAATTTTTACAAAATAATAAATCATCCATTTTAGTTTTTCAAATTATCCAATTGCTTCTATTGAAACTAGACATACGATCCACATTCCCCTTTATTAATTTATACAAATAAATAAATCCAAAGCTCTGATACCAGTTATTAGAAAAAATAGATGATTTTTCACAAGTAAATCAATCAATGAAAATAAAAACTAATGCAAAAAAATTAAATCAACAACGACATAATATTATTTTTCGTCCCTCAATGTAAAGTATGTCCACGGGACCTAAATCTGATTCCATTATCCACCAGTAATTTTCAAACGATTACAAATAAGACACGAATCGTCTCACAAATCGCCCTTAGATAAATTCCAAATAATCACAAAATAATCGGAAGAAAAAAACTTACCAAATAAATAAATAAATTATCTTCAAAACAAATTGTAAAAAATCTAAAATAATAAACCCAAATCAACTCCACCAAATCAACCGAAGATGCACCTAATTAGAGAAGCCTTCAAAGCAAAAACAGAATAGCAGTGAATTTCCTCTGAGACTTAGGCCAATGCATTGCCGAAACTACTTCTTTATATATCCAAGTAAAACACCACCGAATTGATAAAAAAAAAAAGCTGCTGCACCTTTCCCCAAAAAAAATAAAACAATATAAAAAGATATTGTTGATTTGTAGAATTTTTTATTAAAAACTTAATTATTACCAAACAGATTAAGAATATCAATTGCCCTTCAAAAAACAAATATAATATATAAAATACATTATAATTAACACCTAATTAAATTAAAAAATTTTAATAAATCAATTGAATTCTATACTCCACTAAAGAAGTATATTCAATGATGTGGTCGAAAATTATCATTTACGTTTAATACATGTTCTTAGGGAGGTACTATCGTTATTAACAAAACAAACAAATGAGTTAAAAAATATAAATAAATAAAATAATAATAAAAATAGAGAAAATGCACCTGAATGATGTTTCAAAAAAACACTAAAACGAGGTCAAAACTCATGGGAAGTGCGGGGGGTGGTGATTAATTGATTTTAGTTTGCCAGTAAGTAGTGCATATGACCCAGTTGTAATCCACCCACTGCTCCAAACCAATCATAGCAGAAGGGTGGCAATATATCAACACAACAACCGTCAACACATTATCATTATCATTAGACTTGTTTGTTACAGTTTTTAATGTACTAAAAGTTGATAATTAAAAAATATTAATAATTAGTTTTTTCTATTTGATAAATTAAGTTATTTTCATCTTACAAATGATAAATAGAAGCCATCTTAAACATTCAAACAGAAATTTTCAAAAAATTAATAATTAGTTTTTTTTTATTTTATAAATTAAGTTATTTTCATCTTACAAATGATAAATAGAAGCCATCTTAAACATTCAAACAGAAATTTTCAAAAAATTATGATTTAGTTACGATATTTTTTATTACGTTAATTTGTGATGAGACTACACATTTTATACAACTTTATTTCGTAGCTCGAATTTTTCGTGGTTCGAGTGGCTCGAAATCTCAAAACGACGTCGTTTTAGGATTTTTTTTGATTCTCTTACCGGTAAGATAATGTTTTCCGTACCATTCGGGCCATTCGAGCCTCACTTTCTCGAGCTATGGAGCATTTTTCCATTTTATAATTGAAATTGCAAAATTTTATGATAAAATGAAGTCAATTTATAATAGGATGCCTATAATACATAAGATTTCCCCATTATCACAAGCTCTTATTAACCCTAAAAAAAATCCAAATTCAAAAACAATTCAATGCTTTCATGGTTTGCTTGGTTGGCTCCAGCCTTAGAGCTCCCGCGTCTCTTATCTCTCACTCTCTCTCTCCTTCACAAGCATCCTCATCTTCCTTTTATAGCTCACAGCTCCCCCCCTCCCCCTATATATACACACTCCTCTTTTCTATATTACCCACAAAACACTCTCCACAATATTCTCTCTATCTCTCAAATGGCCTTTTGTAATAATGGGTTGTGCATGGTATTGCTGGTTAGTGTCATGGTGATGAGCTCTTTGATGGTTGCCTATGGTGGCAACTTTTACCAAGACTCTGACATAACATGGGGTGATCAACGAGCCAAGGTTTTCAATGGAGGTCAGCTTCTGTCTCTCTCACTAGACAAGATCTCTGGCTCCGGATTTCGATCCAAGAAAGAGTACTTGTTTGGGAGGATTGATATGCAACTCAAACTTGTTGCTGGAAACTCTGCTGGCACTGTTACTACTTATTACGTATGCTTCCAAACTCCTTTTACTTTAAGTCACTTTTAACCTGTGCCATTCATGTCATATTCATCTTAACACGTTTATATATAATTAGGTCGGATAAGATGCTTTACATGATTAGTTAAATAAATCAGATTAATGGAAGGAATTTGACACAAACTCCAAATAATCCGACATTAATATTCCCATGTCCTAGTCTGAAACAAAAAAATCAACAGGGAAAAAATCAACTATTTGGAAGCACACACACAAGCACAACACTTGTTTGCCCCATCAGAACGCCAGAAGCTGACTAAACTCATGCATGACCCAAAAAAAGAAACCAGATATTCTAATGTTAACTAGTGCACTATTTGATAAAGTAAATTATTAATTAATTCATGTAATCCCTGTATTTTTGTTTTCCTTAGTTTTAAATCATGTGGCTACTCATATTCATAATTTTATTTTTCTTGATAGTCCATGTGATTGGACTACTAATCTGATGCACCCCACAAAAAACATGTTTGGTTCGAAAAATGGCAAATATGAACAATAAGACTAGGGAATCTCTTCAATTTATCTGAATATTTACTAACTATTCACAAGGCAATCCATCTCAAAGTCGAGACTTTCAAGGAAAAAAAATAACATTCTAATTAATTTGGTTATCAATATAGGTGATAAACTTTTTAGTAAATTAGAGAGGTTCCTAGACTTATTAAAATGCGAATACCATCCAACGAGGGTATTAGCAATCCCATGTGGAGATAGTGTTACTAATAGAATCTAATGAGATTGGAGATAAAAATTCTATAGAAAATGTTTGAGATCTTGAAAAAGTATTCATAATTCTACCTACAATGATGTGGCAAAATATGTGTCAATTTTTAATTTGTTACATACTTAATGACGATGAGTCAAACTCCCATGCCACATTAATATGAGTGAATTTGTGAGTATAGGTGTGTGGGTCTCTAGTATTACTCAAATACTATATAGCTCCTCATAAAAACTTTTACATAATTTCATAAATTTAATTTCAATCAATTAATATCGCTAAACTAAGGTACAAACAAACATCATTTATTATAATCTCATTCAACTTAATCCAATAAACAAACCTGCCTTAAAAAGGAACCGGACTTGACCAAAAAGCACTCAGAATGATATGAAGGTCAATCATGTGATTTTTTTTATTTATTTATTTTTTTCACAGAGCTTTCCTGCAAAATGAGATTCTTTTTTCTTTTTAATTTCTTGTAACAAGCAAACATAATTCCATGTTTACTAGTTCTTAATAATTGCATTAAGGTTTGGTTCTGGCCAACTTTTCGCAAAATAAAAAAATAAATAAATTCTGTTTTATGACATAGAATAATCATGACATGAAAAGGCCTAGCACAAAGGTTGCTATGTAATCAAATCTAGTAACCCTTTCTCTAGAAACTATATTCTTGATAAGCCATTTTTATTTTATTTTTTGGGTGTGTAAGTTTCCATATTCAAACTTCTTTTTAAAATACCATTCAGCTTTATATGGGTTGTCGAATTTGCATAATTAATTTTTAAATAATTAAATTGGTTATTGTGCGTATATATTGTAGTTGTCTTCTGAAGGGCCAACACATGATGAGATTGACTTCGAGTTCTTGGGAAACCTCACCGGTGACCCTTACATTGTCCACACCAATGTCTTCACTCAAGGCAAAGGGAATAGAGAGCAACAATTCTATCTCTGGTTCGATCCCACCAAAAATTTCCATACTTACTCCATCATATGGATCCCCCACCATATCATGTAAGAAGAGAAACTCTAAATTTATATTTTCCATCACTGCAACAAAATATGAAAACAAATTACCAATATTACATATCATTCAGCATTTTCTAACGTGTTTTACTTTGCTTTGCTTTTTTTTTGTTTTCAGTTTCTTGGTGGATAACACTCCAATAAGAGTATTCAAGAATGGTGAATCAATTGGTGTCCCTTTTCCCAAAAACCAACCCATGAGGATCTACTCTAGCCTTTGGAATGCTGATGATTGGGCCACAAGAGGCGGGTTAGTGAAAACCGATTGGACAAAAGCACCCTTTACAGCATACTATCGGAACTTCAATGTCCAAACTTGTTCTGGGACATGCACTTCTTCTTCATTTTCGAGTGGGGCATGGCAGAGCCAAGAGCTTGATGCCTATAGCCGAAGAAGACTAAGATGGGTTCAGAAGAATTTCATGATTTACAATTACTGCACAGATTTTAAACGCTTCCCTCAAGGCTTTCCTCTAGAGTGTAGACTATGAAGGTTCCTCTAAACAAATGTTAATGAAGTTTGTACTATTTAGTCCATGGTTAAAATTCTTCCTCACTTTGTTTATATTCAAGTTCCACTTTGTTCTATAAGCTTGTTCGCTATTTTTGACAATTCAAAGTCTAGAAATGTAATTCAAGCGTGTTAGCAAGAATCTGAAAAGTCCTTACAGATAATAAATACCAATTTTTATCAAGCGATTGTGTTAAGGTTCTCTTAGCCTCAATGAAGACGACTTTACTGTGTTGTTTTGAAATGATGAATCAAAACTTTAACTCAAATTCCTAACAAAATGGGAAGGAGAGACTGGACATAAATTGAAATTGATTAATTGAATAAACAATTACAAATGTTACCTTAGTAAGGGCAACTTTGAAACTTTTAAACCGATTGAGTTTTGGAATTAGAAGGCTAATCTACTCCTACGAAATATAAATGCAGTGCATAAGAGTAAAGTGCATATATTTAAAGATAAATGAAATTGACAAAGACGTAGAGTCTGAATTTGGTTGGAGGTCTCTTCAGTCTTTGCTTCCATCTAGTTATAGCCTTCTCTTGGCACCATCAAAGTAGTTAAGCTAATATCTTTCACTATGATCTTCCTCCTTCTTGCTACTTCTTAGGGCCATAATCTTCTCTCTTTTTTTTGTGCGTGTGTAACTATTAGCAAGTGCTCTTTAATTAACTCCCTCTTCACATGCCTCTCACATGCTACTTATCATATTCGAATGTGGGACTCTTCATTATCTCATCGAATATGGAATACCATTTGTTTGCAACGTATCACTTGCGAATTGGATGGTTTAAATATGGCACTAACAATTCCCCCTGCACTAGTGTAAGCATAATGGTTACACTAGTGGACATAACTTCTGGTAGTTGCTCTTCTTCCATAATTACGGTTCCTTAAATGTAACCCACACGATCAATGATCTCTATGATCCCTTTCGCTTGCATTCCTGGGCTCTGTATTTGATGAGGTTCGAGCTGAAAAGCAAGACCCATCAACTTCAAAGACTTCGAAAAAATGGCTGCCTTAGATATGAAAAAGGTTGATGTTGAGGTTATGGAGGTTGATGCGAACAAAACTGATTGCCCTGCGTCTTTAGAATTAGACTCTCATCTCAAGGATATTCACGTGACTTCCTCTTCTTCCATTCTACAACCAGAGCACCTTGATGTGTCTACATCACTTCGCTTAGGCTAGGATACACCTCCCTCTTCCCTTTTGGTTGACACTGCTCCTAACTGGGGATCTTTTCCTTCTTCCACTAGCTAAGATATCTACGAACGACTCATGGTGCCTACTACTCATTTCAAGGTCCATCATCATTTCTTAGAGCAAGTAGACCCCAACACTATCCCATCCAACTGTCGTAGTAAGGTTATATACCGTTACCAACCACCATTTGAGAATCTCAGGCCTGAAAACCGTTTTCTTTATTCTTGGCATTTGTCCTCTGCTGCTCTTCGACTTAACAAAAAGGTCTTTTCTGAAGGATCCTCATTAGGTTTCATTCCTACTCCCGATGAGGCCTCATTGGGGTTAGACTTTACTATGCTGGCCAAACAAGCCGAATTATTCTCCTATGATTGGCTTGAATACGTCACTAAGACATGATACCTATTGGGTTTAGAATTGATCCTTCATTACCATTCCTCCATTACCAAACCCAATGGATTTCAGAGCTTCGAATGGCCATTGAAGATTACATCCTAGTCTCAACCATCATACTCTGCCTGTGATCATGCTAGATCTGAGGCTAAAGGGCTTTTAGCAGCCTTCAGTCATCTCCCTTTTGACATCCTTTGTGATAAGCTTCCCTACAATAACTTTCTTTGGGGCTTGTGATGTCTTCATTTGAAATCAGTCTCTTAATTCAGCTGCGTTGACTGAAGCTGGGACTTTTCCCCACTATCTCTCATCCCTTTTAAATTGGCATGACTTGTCTGAAAAAGAACGCCACACCTTTGAGGATGCACAGAGCTCTTATTTGGGTACCAAGTATGAGGCCCTCGGGATTATATTTGATTTGGACAATCTTGATTAACTTTCTGACCTTGATGACTATTGCTCTCCCCAAGAGTTCCAAGAGTCTGCAAGCTTTTGAAAGCTTGAACGAAAGTCTTTGGAGAACCAAGTAAAAGAGTCTGCGTTGAAACTCAAGTCCTTTCAATTTCAGTAATTCACAATAAAATTAAGGAGAGGCAGAAGAAAGAAGATGAACTCAAAGTATTTTTGGGTCAAATTTCACGACCTTGTAACATTTTATTTTCCTTATTTTTATGAGCTTGAACCATCTTTTTGTAATTTTTCAAATCTTTTAATGAAATGAAGGCTATGCATACGTTTGTTTTGGGTTCAATTTTTGCATCACTCTGTAATTCAAAGGTCAAGGATCATCTTACCAATTAAAACAATTAATAAATCTCACGACTTTGAAGCAATTTGCAGTTTCAAAACTATCCTCTAAAGGCCCAAAAACCAATATATTCTTGATACCCCATAGATTCCAGACTTAAAAATACGCTTTCACTTGGGAGCATATATTTAAGTGTTTGGCCTAGTTTAAACTTTATACTAGTTTATGAGGTTATTTTGTGAAATAACCCGACCCATTTGAAGAAACATATAAATAACCAACCATTTGTATTAGTTTCACTTATGTTTCATCTCCAAGACTTGCTCTGCATCTTCCATTTCTACTTTCAAACCCTAACTTTCACATTATGCAATGGCATCTGGTTCTCAAACAAACCTCTCTATGGAACTCCGACGTTTATACTTTGAATTTACCTCAGACGCTAACCTTGCTACAAGCGCTGTTGGCACCCCCCTCTTCATTCCCCAAGATAATGATGGGGTATTTGGTTTAGGTCTCGTATTCAAGGATACTCCTCCAGTTGAGATGGTGCACTTGTATCATCACCTTAAAGACCATATTCTTTAATACCAAAGCCAGTTACATTGGTATTCTTGGTCTGAAATACCATTTCAAATGTGGCCAATGGTTAACGGTGAGTGGATCGATTGGTATGAAAGAGTAACTTCAGAAATGAAGGATACTTTATCTCGAGTAGGTATCTTTTCATTTCTCCGCATATTCAAATACTCCATTCCCCAAGATCCCTACTTGATTCATGTCGCCCTTTGCTTCTGGAACGCTACATTTAACTTCTTCCAATTCCGATAAGGTATAATGGCCCTTACTATTCTTGACCTAAGCCATCTTCTTGGCATAATGTCTACTGGGGAATTTTTCAGTCCAAATTATCAAGGCAGAGTCATCCTTGGGCTCTAAAACCCTACTAGGAACCTATCTTACTCACACTTCCTCAGTAGAAAGAACAAAGGAACTAGTCCAATTAGTGACCAAGAACTTTTTTATTTCCCCCTTTTTCTGGTTGTGAAAATTTGTAATGTGCACACCTTCATAGAAGATTGTCACTGAATTCATCCCTTTGGCCAAAGCTCTTGCATCAGGCAATTCGATTGCCCTAGCTCCTTTCATTCTTGGTCATCTTTATAGGGTATGCTCCTCTTTCTGTGAGAAGCCTTTGGATTCCAACCTAGGAGGTTCAATTTGGATTCTTCAATTATGGCTTTTCACCTATTTTCTTGACTTTAGGATTTGATTCATTAGCTATCCTAATGATATATATGTTGTCACCTATGGAGAGTTATATAGTAGAGTAACTCTACAGAGTTCTACATTCCAATTCTACTTTCAATCCTTCTTTGAACGTAGAACCTAATTTTTTTACTCCATTTGACCCTACACAAGGTGTTCAATGGCTTCAAGACATGTTAGCAGATAAGGAGTGCAAAAACAAGGTTCATAAGTGTGGGAGCCAGAAAAAATATATATATTAGTTTATTGGGGTTAATCCAAACAAGGCCTACAATCGGTCCAACCCAAACTAATATCACACCCCCCATCTATATAAAAGGGGAGGAGGGGGCATCCCAGAAGAGGAGGTATGTTCTCTTCCTTGCACTACACACCAAGCACTCTACACTTTCTAGACTTTCATTCTGCTTAACAGGTGACTGACTTCACCATCAGAGTGCCTCCGGGCGGCAACCCCAGTTGGTGGCACCGATCATGCTCATCTTTGCAGGTATACCAGGACCAAGTTCATCTTTTCGTTGGATCTCTACAATCCATATAAGAGGATATTTCATGGTCTCACAATAAGGAATGTTGGGTATCTATTCTACTGCTAGATCTCTCTTTATTAGGAATCCAAACCCCAAAGCCTATAAATGTATTATTGAACCTTGTTGCCTTACTTAATTTGCTAGGCAATTTAGATTAGTTCAACTTGTCCCTGCTCCTTACTATTCCTTTAACAATCCTCAATTATAGAATCAAAAGTTAAGGATGGCCTTAATCAAAACTAATGACTCAGTGGAGCTCCTGCGTAAGAACATGGCTACATTCAGCTTGGCCCCATTTGTTTCAATCCCTATATTATCTCCTACTTTCTAACACTGGTGGAAGTTTATCATGAACCTCCAATTTACTCTATCATTGCCCTCCATGTTGAAAAACTTGAGCCCTCCTGATGAGATCAGTTCAAAAAATGACTCCACTTCTCTTAAAGTGGGCCCAATAAGAGCAATGGAGTTAGACCAATCTGCCATTGCAGCTGCACCAACACCTACTATTACTCTTGCTTTAGCCACAAGAGCCTTTTCCAAATTGAGCAAGTATAATTCTAAATTTGAGCATTACCCAGCTTGTCACATCCGAATATATGCTAATGATACTAATGCCTTTACCTTGTTAGTTCTCCATTATAGAACCTATTTTTGCAACTAGTAGGCCGGAGGCCTTGGCACAACTTATGGCCACAAAAGGACAGAAAATAAGCAGAGGCACCACTCTTGGTGGTAGTGAGTTTACTCATAGTGGTGTTCAAGCTACTCTAGAAGCTCCTACCCCAAAACCATTACTTGAAAAAAAAGAAGAGTATGAGAAAGAATTGGCAGATGATGCTTCTCTTATCACTTAAAGAAAAAGAACAATTGAATCACCTCTTTTCCTTGTTCATACCACGTCAAGTATGTAATTACCTCTTCTTTAAAACAAACCTCATGCTTTAAATACTCTCTTCCAATCTTATGTTTTACTCATCATTTTGGATGTGAGCACTACTATCGCTGCAACTTCTGAACCTACTACTAGTGTC